GGTAATATGTACTAGGACTTCTGACAGCTAGGTTTGGTAATATGTACTAGGACTTCTGACATCTATGTTCGAGTAATATGTACTAGAACTTCTGACAGCTAGGTTTGGTAATATGTACTAGGACTTCTAATAGCTAGGTTTGGTAATACTTACTAGGACTTCTGACAGCTAGGTTTGGTAATATGTACTAGGACTTGTGACAGCTAGGTTTGGTAATATGTACTAGGACTTGTGACAGCTTGGTTTGGTAATATGTACTAGGACTTCTGACATCTTGGTTTGGTAATATGTACTAGGACTTCTGACAGCTTGGTTTGGTAATATGTACTAGGACTTCGAACAGCTAGGTTTGGTAATATGTACTAGGACTTCTAACAGCTTGGTTTGGTAATATGTACTAGGACTTCTAACAACTTGGTTTTGGTAATATGTACTAGGACTTCTGACAGCTAGGTTTGGTAATATGTACTAGGACTTCTAACAGCTTGGTTTGGTAATATGTACTAGGACTTCTAACAGCTTGGTTTTGGTAATATGTACTAGGACTTCTGACAGCTAGGTTTGGTAATACTTACTAGAACTTCTGACAGTTAGGTTTGGTAATATGTACTAGGACTTCTGACAGCTTGGTTTGGTAATATGTCCTACAACTACTGAAAGCTAGGTTTTTTAATATGTACTAGAACTTCTGACGGCTTGGTTTGGTAATATGTACAAGGACTTCTGACAGCTAGGTTTGGTAATATGTACTAGGACTTCTACCAGCTAGGTTTGGTAATATGTACTAGGACTTCTACCAGCTTGGTTTGGTAATATGTACTAGGACTTCTAACAGCTTGGTTTGGTAATATGTACAAGGACTTCTGACAGCTTGGTTTGGTAATATGTACTAGGACTTCTAACAGCTTGGTTTGGTAATATGTACAAGGACTTGTGACAGCTTGGTTTGGTAATATGTACTAGGACTTCTAACAGCTAGGTTTGGTAATACTTACTAAAACTTCTGACAGTTAGGTTTGGTAATATGTACTAGGACTTCTAACAGCTAGGTTTGGTAATACTTACTAGAACTTCTGACAGTTGGGTTTGGTAATATGTACTAGGACTTCTGACAGCTTGGTTTGGTAATATGTTCTAGGACTTCTGACAGATAGGTTTGGTAATATGTACTAGGACTCTTGGCAGCTAGGTTTGCTAATAGTTACAAAGACTCCTGACAGCTAGGTTTGGCATATGTTCTAAGACTCCTGACAGCTAGATTTGGCTATTATTACGCACTAGGACTCCTAACAGCTTGGTTCAGGTAATATCTACTAGGACACCTCACAGCTCGATTTCGTAATATGTATCATAGCTCCTCAGAGCTAAGTTTGGTAATACTTACCAGGACTACTGACAGCTATATTTGGTAATATGTACTACCACTCTTGACAGCTACGTTTGATAATATATCCTAGGACTTCTGACAGTTATTTGAGTTTCTGTAATATAACTTGATGTTATGTAAATAGAACACTAACTTAACTACTCATTTTCTCCATGATAATCAGTAACATAATTTTTCGTATTTACAAGATACGGAATGCCTGTTGTTGTCTGAAAGCATGAAATGATCTTTCTAACTGGCTAACTTTTTATTGTGTTATTTGATTTACCACTACAACTCTAATTAAACTCTAATAGCAGCTCAAGACGATTGCTGTCTTAATAAACAGGACTTTTCTCAGACTACATTTTCAAAAACTCCATCTTGTAAGAAGGCAGTTTCAAGGTAAGTACAGTAGCTAGTAGTTTGAAAAGTAGGCATAGTAGTTAGAAATTTGTAGAATAGGTACAGTAACTATAAGTTTGAAGAGTAGGTACAGTAGCTAGCAGTTTGAAAAGTAGGCATAGTAGCTAGAAATTTGTAGAATAGGTACAGTAGGTAGAAATTTGTAGAATAGGTACAGTAACTACAAGTTTGAAGAGTAGGTATAGTAGCTAGCAGTTTGAACAGTAGGTAAAAGAGCTAGCAGTGTGTAGAGTAGGTACAGTAACTAGCAGTTTGTAGTGTAGGTATAGTAGCTAGCAGTTTGTAGTGTAGGTACAGTAGCTAGCAGTTTGTAGAGTACCTACACTACAAACTGCTAGCTACTGTACCTACAAACTGCTAGCTACTATAGAGTAGGTATAGTAGCTAGCAGTTTGTAGAGTAGGTACAGTAGCTAGCAGTTTGTAGAGTAGGTACAGTAACTAGAAGTTTGTAGAGTAGGTATAGTAGCTAGCAGTTTGTAGAGTAGGTATAGTAACTAGACGTTTGTAGTACAGGTATAGTAGCTAGCAGTTTGTAGAGTAGGTATAGTAACTAGCAGTTTGTAGAGTAGGTATAGTAGCTAGCAGTTTGTAGAGTAGGTATAGTAGCTAGCAGTTTGAACAGTAGGTAAAAGAGCTAGCAGTGTGTAGAGTAGGTACAGTAACTAGAAGTTTGTAGAGTAGGTATAGTAGCTAGCAGTTTGTAGAGTAGGTATAGTAACTAGACGTTTGTAGTGTAGGTATAGTAGCTAGCAGTTTGTAGAGTAGGTATAGTAGCTAGCAGTTTGTAGAGTAGGTATAGTAACTAGACGTTTGTAGTACAGGTATAGTAGCTAGCAGTTTGTAGAGTAGGTATAGTAACTGAGTAGGTACAGTAACTAGCAGTTTGAAAAGTTGGCATAGTAGCTAGAAATTTGTAGAATAGGTACAGTAACTACAAGTTTGAAGAGTAGGTATAGTAGCTAGCAGTTTGAACAGTAGGTACAATAGCTAGCAGTGTGTAGAGTAGGTACAGTAACTAGAAGTTTGTAGAGTAGGTATAGTAACTAGAAGTTTGAACAGTAGGTACAGTAGCCAGCAGTGTGTAGAGTAGGTACAGTAACTAGAAGTTTGTAGAGTAGGTATAGTAACTAGAAGTTTGAACAGTAGGTACAGTAGCTAGCAGTTTGTAGAGTAGGTATAGTAGCTAGCAGTTTGTGGTGTAGGTATAGTAGCTAGCAGTTTGTAGAGTAGGTACAGTAGCTAGCAGTTTGTAGAGTCGGTATAGTAACTAGCAGTTTGTAGAGTAGGTACAGTAGCTAGCAGTTTGTAGAGTAAGTACAGTAGCTAGCAGTTTGTAGAATAGGTACAGTAGCTAGCAGTTTGTAGAGTAGGTACAGTAACTAGCAGTTTGTAGAGTAGGTACAGTAGCTAGCAGTTTGTAGAGTCGGTATAGTAACTAGCAGTTTGTAGAGTAGGTACAGTAGCTAGCAGTTTGTAGAGTAGGTACAGTAGCTAGCAGTTTGTAGAGTAGGTACAGTAGCTAGCAGTTTGTAGTGTAGGTTCAGTAACTAGCAGTTTCTTGAGTAGGTACAGTAGCTAGCAGTTTGTAGTGTAGGTTCAGTAACTAGCAGTTTGTAGTGTAGGTTCAGTAACTAGCAGTTTCTTGAGTAGGTACAGTAGGTAACAGTTTGTAATATAGTAACATTTTTTAAATTAACTCATATATACTTTAATTAACTAGAAAACGTGTGGTTTAGGATCTACCGGCAAGGTTATAAAATGTCCTCAGCTTCTATTTATCTGTGTGTTTATGTAATGTTATATAATGTATAACTTTCATATGTTTCGCAGGTTAAGAGAACTTTCTGGCCATCTCGATCATGGATACATCCCTATTTCTATCCTTCAGAAGACACTGCAATATGCTACTCGTGTACTTGAGGCAGTATCTGTACAAGAATTCAGGTCTCTGAATAACTATTTTCACTCCAGTTTCTAGCTAATTAATCTAAGTAAGGCAAAATATTTGCTATTTCCTTATATTGATAATTTGGGGTCTAGGTGTTAGTTCGTTTTTGTTATTTTCTTATAAAAATTCACACCACCTATCGTGTCTGGTGTCTTCTAAAACATCTACACCATCCATCGTGCTTGGTTTCTCCTAAAACATCCACACCATCTATCGTGCTTGGTTTCTCCTAAAACATCCACACCATCTATCGTGCTTGGTTTCTCCTAAAACATCCTACACCACCTATCGTGCTTGGTTTCTTCTAAAACATCTACACCATCTATCGTGCTTGGTTTCTCCTAAAACATCCACACCATCTATCGTGCTTGGTTTCTCCTAAAACATCCACACCATCTATCGTGCTTGGTTTCTCCTAAAACATCTACACCATCTATCGCGCTTGATTTCTTCTAAAACATCTACACCATCTATCGTGCTTGGTTTCTCCTAAAACATCCACACCATCTATCGTGCTTGGTTTCTCCTAAAACATCCAC